CTGATAATATCATTATGACTTGGAATTATTCTCATTGGTTAATGCATTGGTCATTGTATAGGTTTATTATTATACCCCTTTCAGCACTGAAAGATCGTTCAAGTGGCGGGACCTTCGAATTTAACATCCATCACCAATAGGACGGGGCCAAAAGGGTGGGAAGCCTTAAAAAAACTCCCCAAACCAACGTCAGTTCAGAACGACCTGCTGGGGATTTGAACCAGGTTCATCCGCTTCAAAGCCCAACATGAGAATTATTCTAGAGTTTACAAAAATGATATAGGGTTAATCAGTAGCCTACTTAAAACATCAATTTAAAGTGTCCAGTTAGCAACCATTTATATTAAAGTGTCCAGTTTGAAACCATTTAGGTAACAATATAAACTTCAATGAAAAGAAAAAAAAATAAAGCAAATCTTTCCAAAAGGAGAGTTGAAGTTGTGTTAAAATCTTTTTAAAAGTCCATCCTGATGGAAACCATGTTGAGAAACGGAGAGAGAGCTTGACTAAGCAGGAGTGCCACTTATAAAAACGGTTAACTGAGCTATCGCTCTAAATCGCGAACTGCATTCAACAGGGGCCTTGATAAACAGCAAATTTGATTTCTTCCACATTGGCAGTCCACCCAGTCATTCGTTATGAATGGGAAACCCCTCAAAATACTCAAAAAGTTTGTTTCATTTTCACTCCCTAACCCATCCAAGTTGGTAGAGTAACATATCTAAAGGATTTAGTACCACAAACATATCTAAAGGATTAGGACCACAGTACGTCTTCACTTTCAAAGACTACCATGAATGAGACACTTTCATCTATGCATAATTCTTTTTTTTTGTGGCCATTATAACAGTTTTTATTCTACCTTCATTATCAACTTTCAACTGCTTACAATATTATCAAGATAAAAGCTTCTTGAAAGACAGTGTCTGTGGCATTGCTGAACAACCAAAATTAGAGTAAGAAAGGCTATATTCTGCAAGTAAACAGGTCGGGGCAACAGCAACACTTTAAAAAAGGAGACAGACAGCAATCAACTTGGAGGGCTAAACAACCAGCCTCCCTGTCAATCGACTAAGTAAGATGTATTCAAAGCTGGCAAAACTCTAACTATTTGACTGCATGACTTTAGAGGCATAAATAGAATTTAAAATCTTCCAGAATGTTTATCTTGATCTGTGAGATAGATTTACAAAAATGCGAATTGTAATATCATATTAACTTTTACGCTAAGACTGTTCCATTATCTCAAAAGTAGATCTACATAACTTTTAAAAAAAATATCTTTGATCAAAAGCAGGAATAAATACAACAATAAGAAACCCAAATAAATAAACAGATTAACACAAATTCTATTTTTAAAATGTACAGCCAAACTTGGATATAACAGGACAGACGGGACCGGCAGTTTTTCCCTGTTATAAGCGAGTCCTGTTATAACCGTTATCAAGGGAAACTACCAGTACCATTGCACCTTAAGCTTGCTATATACATTTGATCATCGTAGATCCTTTTCCAGTAGGCTGTTTTGCTGATACTGAGACGGAATCCAACTGTGACCCTAACACTATGGGGGTGGGGGCATGTGTTTGAAAGTTTGTGTTTAGGCAAGCGATCATACAAACATGTGACATGTCTTGGTTGAGACAAATTGTAATAATTTGAGGGATTCAAAGCAAGTTTATGCACTGCAAGATCACTGTTATATCCGAGTCTGCGCAAATAGAACCCTGTTATAGCCAGGTTCATAATGTTACTTACACTTACAGAGAAAAAAAAACTGGGGATTTGATTTAACACTGTTATATCAAAGTTCCTGTAATAACAGAGGCTTCTGTTATATATGGACTGGACTCTACCAAAGACAAACAAAAGACTTCTTTACATTGTTTTATGAGTAATGAATAGAGGTAATAACATTTTCTTTTTGAAAAGATGTAAACTTCGTTAATGAGGAACAAATCAAAAGCAAACAAACAAAAGTAGACAATGAATCATACACAGCAGAAAGAAGGACCTACACTGACATGAGCATCAGCACCAACTGGCTGTGACCTCTTTGTGTGAAACCGGAATTTCCTTCTGAGAATGAAGAAAAAAAAGGTAGTAAAACTGTAGATTACACAAAAGACTTCGGTTAATGCATAGAAAAATCATACAATATACAGAAAAAAGCAAAAAAATATCAGAATGGGTTCTTGTACAATGTACAAAAGTGATGCAACAAAATTTACCAATTTTTTCCTTCAAAACTTTAATGTGTGACAGATCCTTATTTTACACTTTCATTCAAAATAACTATAAGGAGTATTTAAAAGAACATTAAGTAGAGGTTTGAGTTTGAATAGACAGAAACACAACATAATCACAGATATAATATAGTGCAAGAAAAAAGCAAGACCAGCCTACAAATGGCACTCTCCAACCATCAATGAAGAGCAAGTAAACGTACCCCTAATATTGGCTCCTTATTACTCATTTTTATCTTCTTTTAGTAGCAAAGTATAACATACTCACTTCTTTTTTTTACCCCCTGTTTGTCCAGATCCATCTCCTCCATCCTCCATCCCCACTCCGCCTTGTCCAGTCCCAACAGCCTCCTCCTCTCCACTCCCATCTCCACTGGCATCGCTGTGACGATGATGATCAGGATGACCACTAGACAACATAAGGACATTTGCACCCCGTAGTGCTTGCTCATCAAGATCACCATCGTCAACGTCAATCGCATCGTCATCCATCTCCATCGTTGTGTCCAAATCTAGTTCAAAGGAGCCCAGTTCTGACGAACGTTTCTGGACTCTGAGAATGATTTTTTAAAACCCCAACAACTTAATAATAAATTTACAAAGAGGAACTCACACACAATAATCTAACTGGAACCAGACTTTTGTACCTAATATAAAAGTTTATCCTTCTTAAATCAGGAAAATTTATCTTTGTTTGTGAAATTTGGGCTGAGACCATACACATAATCTTTATGAGATACTGTTATCTTATCTGATATGCTGGAATCCACAAAAGAAAAGGAAAGAGGCTGACCAAAGAACTCATCGACGGCTGAGCATAAGAAGCGACGACATCTACTTTCACAGTTTCGAGAAAAGCAAGTTTGAAAAGTTGATTATTTTGAAATCTCTATAACACAGTCCAAAAGGAACGTTTACATCTCAATAATGAACTATTGAGAATTATGAGCAGCTATGGATATGTGCCGCCTGCTATGATTCTAGCTCTGGATCCAAGTAAATCCAAGTAATGAACTAAGCTACGGCTTAGAAGATATTTACAGAGGTAGAAAAGCGGCTTAAAATCTAACTGCGCGTATCAATTACTCCATTTTGATCAAAAGTGAATCCTCACTTCTTACCCTCAGCCATCAACATGGTGCCAAGAGGTGGAAGGGGGTACAAGGAAGCTTAAGGCATAATTTGAAGCAACTGGAGCAACTGGCCAAGGATTGAGATGCAAAGGAAGGCTCTTGTTGGCGGCCCATGTCCCAGTCAGAAACACAGGCAATGATGATGATGAAGAGGATGATGATGATGATGATGATGATGATGATGATGATGATGATGATGATGATGATGATGAGGATGAGGATGAATATGATGATGAGGATGAGGATGAATATGATGATGATGAACGCTCAGCTTAAATCCAAGAAATAAACACAAAAAAATAAGACTGGGATCCAAATGTATCACACTTGTATTTTGAGAGGTCAAAATAAAGGCCTATCTTTAAAAGGACAAAAAAAACCCTCCATATTTAGAGCTTGACAGTTTAAGGAATAGCAAAGAATTGTCCTGTTTTGATGAAAAGATCTCATTTCCTTGTGAACAACGTTAAACTAGTGGAGAAAAATGTGAAGCTGGACACCATTTTCTTTCATTAGCTTTGATCCATTCTGGCTTTCCACATTATTAAGAAATATGCCATTCTGTACATTTGGTTTCCTCATTGTTCAACTTTATTAAAAGAGCTTTCCAAGTGGTATTTCAGAACTGTCATAAATCTTACATACTAATATCCAATTTTGAGATTGTAAAACACAAGCAACTTTACGGAAGGCGAACGCCACTGTATACTCGCAGAATGTGTGAGTTAAATAGAAAGAGATAGGCTACTTTTGAAGGTATTAATACGTATATTCTTTTTATCCTCTTCCGCATACTTATGAAACACAAAAACATAAGAAGACTTTTGTTTCTTTTGATATGATAAGATAATTAAGGCTAGGCAAGTTAGGCTTGAGCACCACAGTCTTTCACTGCAGTCATCATGAACAGATCTCACAGACCTCAATGAGCAAAATTTTGCTAAATTATCAGAGCATCTCGCAACTAAATGTCAAACCCACCTCGGAATGTCTAGGAAACCACATTGACAGCCTGAGACACATCTGGTCAAATTTCCACCACGACCAAATGACAAAACAACTCCAAAACAATTCAGAAAAGTTTAAATTCCTTATGAGTAGTTATTTAAGAAGAAAGACAAAAAGCACAAATATAAAAATACAAGTAAAAATGAACCCAAATCTGATTTAAAAAGGGATTTTTGAAACAAAGACTTGTTTCATTTCAGAGTGTGCAGATACTTTGTTTTGGACTAAAATAACATCCATAACCAAGTTGCTGTTCTTGCACTAAAAAAAAACCCCTCTCCTTAAAAAAAGTCCAACATCGAGTCCAGCTATTTCTGTGACATTAGTTAGCGAAACATTTCCATATACAGTGGATACCTGATATAACAGGAATGGTGGGACCTGAGAAAAAGTTATGTTATATCCAATCCTTGTTTAATCAGAAATGCAAGGGAAGTAAGCATTTATGGACTAATCCAACTGCATATATTCATGGCTAGTTTCCCTTGCCCCAAGTATCCAGGAACAGGGATTTTGGCCATTGTCATGCCTGCACATGACACATTACGCATGTGTGTAGCTCTAAGGACTTGAAGTAGAAGACCGGAGTCTGCTGCAAACTGCAGCCCTCTCTCACTTCACTGGATGCGTGTGCTCGCAGCAGTAGCGTGGCTTGCATGAACTTGCTCAATCACAGCGTTACCTTCTCTCTCTCTCTCTCTCTCCCTCTCCCTTTCTCTCTCCCTCTCTCTTACTTATTTAACACATTGTTAACGAGCCTTTATCCCTGCTATAACCGATTGGGCTCCGAAGATGCCATGTTACTGCCGATAATTTTTAATAGAGACCAAGAGTTGGAATAAACGGGGATATTAAAAATCCCTGTTATTACCAGTTCCCTGTTATTTCCAGGCCTATGGTTTCCACTGTATAGATAACACAATAACACATTTTTATTTGAGGACTTAACTCACCGTCCCCCTGGAAAGTACTTGGAGAGTACTGAACCCTGCTTACGAAGTTCCTTCCTTGCTGGTTTCGGCTCGACTCGCTCCGTAGGTCCCGCTTCTGCTTGCCCAGCCTAGGTACATAACAGAAAAAAGAACAAATATAAACCAATGTGCTTAGAATTTAAAAGACCTATAAAAAGTTCTTTCAATTTTCAAGCAAAAAAGACAAAAGTAATACAAACCAATGTTGACAATAAGCAACACGATTACACTCTTTTTAATGCAAGTTTTTCCTTTAACACTATTTCTTAAACAAGTTTAGCCTGTGATCATATGCAGTGAGAATGAAACACCTCATTCTAGCTGTAATGTTAGAACAAAAAGTATTCTTATAATGACAAATAACTTCACCAATAAATTTAAGAGACATGAAAACTATACAGCACTAACTGATATATATTTTATTTCATTGATGATAACAATATATTTTCCTTAAATGTTTGCATAGAGGCAGAAACAATAATGTGCGTGGTATTTGCATAGATCAAGTACAAATGGTTGATATAGACTCTCAATGTTTGCCAAATGAAATACAGTTTAAATTTGGTAAATTGTTCTATTAAGCAGGTTAACTTTTCAGAAGACATTCTCGCTGTCGCAGAGAGAAAGATATGGTTTAGAAATTTAAACATAAATGTTTTGACACTTCTGTGTGTCAAACCACCACCTCCTCCTCCCAAAGCACCAATGTTACTTGCCTATCCCTATTTTCATTCTTTACTTTACTTCAATCTGAACCCACCTCTACAGCTAGGTACTTTGTATAAAGGTAACACAATGCTCAATGCTTGAGATCCTAAAAACTTAATCTTTATTGATTCTTTTAGTCAAAGGACATGGTAAGGTTGTGAGGTCCCTGTTAACCCTATCCGTACGTTGCGTTTTACTATTGTATCCATACGGCGAGGGGAACTCTGGGCCACCACTTTTCAAAGAGGAAATTTACTCGCTAATCTGATCCGTACGCTTTGCATAGCAGTCTGTCAAAATGATTTTTTGAAAAATACTGATAGATTCAAAAAGATCTTCCCACTAGAAGTATTCTAAAATGTGAAGAATACAACCCCGGGGGTACAAAATGACCCCACGACGTACGGATAGGGTAAATAATGTAAGGTCATTTAAGTGGTGGGACCTCCAAATCTAATATCCATCTCTGACAGAACAAAGTCAAAATGGGTGACACGGCCCACAAACTCCCCAAACAAGCAAAGATCAAGCACACAGCATGGGGACACCCACGCCATTCACACTGTAGATCAGCACGACACCATCTGAGCTATTGGTGCTCCCAAATCTTCGAATAAGATGCGAATCTTGACAAAAATCAATAGATAAATGTAGTTGGACTGCAGTGTTTCAGTCAGCTAAAAAAGAAAGCAAAGAGATACAACCCCTTTTTAACTGCTATTTGCTATACATGATTCAATTACATCATTGTGCCTATTTGTTATTGCACATTAGAGCAAAATCAGAACCAGCCCTGCACCGTTTATTTTGAATCTATCAAATGAGCTTCAACAATGTTTGCTGTAGGTTCAGTGGGTTCAAGAAGGAAACTGATAATTTTTCTTAATCAATCTGCATTTATCATCCTTCGGTTAGAAAGTCATCACATACTATTGTCACTCTTTTAGCATCCAGTCATCAACAAGCTCACTGAATAAAAGAAAAGGACAAAACTAAAAGTTTAAAAAGTGAAAAATGAAACAATTTTAGGAAACCGTTTCCAGCAATACAGCAAAAAATGCCACCAGTCCAATAAAAACAAAACAAAAAATATTTAAAACAGAATAGACCCCACCATACATCAAGTACATAATCCAAACAAAACACCACAAAATTATGTAACAGCTAAACTCATAGGGTGGTACCGGGAAGTAGGTGGCAAACACAAAATGAAAGAAAGATGCTGAAGAACAGAAACATGTCCTCAGCTTCCAGAATGTGAGAGAAGATAGAGAAAAAGAAGAACAAAATCAATGAGAACTCCACCTCCCCAAAGGGTCTGTAACACTGGGAGTCAGACAAAGAAAAAAAAAAGGAGATTGTTTCGAAAGAATGAGATAAAGAGAGAAAAGGAGAAGAGGCAGGTGTGTGGCACAATAAGCCATAACAAACCACAGAAACACGCACACACTTGCACAGGGTATTTATCTTTGCCAAGATAACAACAAACAACAAACGTTGTTATTTGTTGTCATCAGTTGTTATTCATTGTTATCTTGAGAAAGATAAACACTGCTTGCACAGACAAGAAAAATATCTTTGAAAATAATACTATCACAAGTCTATCTGCTGAACAAATTTTAATGATGGAAGAATTTGACTAAAGTTTGCATCTCTAGAACATACTTAGATGGAAACAAAAGAGAGCCACAGTGTTCTACTGAAGTTGCACCTCTCCGCAACTGAATGGCAAAACATACTTTATGAAAATCCTGTCAAATCTAGCAAGAAAATAAGCATCTCTATTTTTGTTCTTGAAAGGCACAAAAAAGACAGAGGTGAATTGGTATTTTTGAATATTGGCCTTCCGTTATAAGTAAGGCAAAATGAGATGTTGCAACTTCAATTCTAAATCTAAAGAAAATCCTTTAAAGGTTAGTCCAGACCTTTTGGAAACCTTGTGGCCTTGAGACTTTTATCTAGGGATAAAGGATTTCGCCCTTCTCACTGATGAAAAACTGCTAGACAGCACCACAACTGAGCTTTTTGCAACATCAAGCCACAGGTGTCGTTTTGACAGAGTACATATTGTGTGTTACAAATATACCGAAAGAGGAAATTTGACTATATACAGATTAGTTCAAGAAATGAACTCAATTTGTTGATATGAAAGCCAAGTGCAAAAGCCACTTGAGCAAAACCAACACCAGAAAAGGTGCATGATACAGAATTTCTTTTGAAAACAATGAAGACCACAAAAATACCATTAAACAAACAGACCAAAAAATTACCTGCCATCTTTGTCTGATGTTCATAGACAATGACTCAAAATCAGACATGGGATTTAGGAGTCTAAATTTCATGGATAAGGCAGTTTAAATGGCGGTGTTAAAAAAGTATGAGTGAAACTTTCTTCTAGTATCAACATATCTAAGCATTTTGGTATGTGATATATATGATGCGCTGCATTTAAATGAGAAGACATTTTGTTTGTATAGGGAATGGCAGTTCATTAATTTAGCTACAATCATAGTAAAAATAAACAATGTTTCATTATACACAAGTGACACTCTTGTATTGAGTAACTGTGTTTTGAGAATCAACAAACAATTTGCATATATATACATATATGAACAGGAAGCTGTGTGAGCGTTTTGTACTGGGAAGTACAATTTGTAAATGGACGCTGTAAGTAGTTCCCATTAATAAGGCTAAAATTCTGAAAAGTATCTCATCTTATCATTTTATTATTACAAGTTTTCACTGTCTCTGCACGTATAAAGCATGACAGTCCAATGAAAGGAATAATAAAATTGGGCTTTTCTATTGTCCTTGCACCACAAAGGAAAACTGCTAAACATAGGGTCCCCAAACCAAACCACTGGAACTGCCATACATCCTAAGCGACTAATCAGGGACTCCAGGAGAAGCAAATTTGTTTCTGTTCCAGTTCAAACTCCAAGTCTTCACTTCAATTCTTTTATTCTTCTCTGGGAATTTTATGAACTTATTATCTGTCCCAAAACTGTTGCGCAAACTGCCAAACAGTTTTGAAAGAAAATTTGAAAATAACTTCCCCCCCCCTCCTCTAAAAAAAACTCTTTCGAAATACCTATAATAAAATGTTTAAGAATCTTGTAACTGAAAAGGACATCTAAGGCAGCGGATGCAGGAGACAAAAACCCTCACACACTCCTTCAATTAACCATTTGTCTTGTGGAGCTACAAAAAGAAGGGGGGAAAGAAGAGACAAGAAAAGAGATTGATAATATGTTTAAATGGTGGCATTTAAAGTGACAAAGATGCCAATAACCAGTTGACCTGCAGAGAATGCTCTGTGCACATTTGTAGCCTACCTCATGGACCTGAGCTGTATTTGACTTGCTTCCTAAACCAATGCCGGTATGAGAGTGTTTTCTTCTTTTTAGGCTTAAAGAGCACACTGAATGTGATTAGGTGCATGCACCTGTGAAGGTGGATGTGAATATGTGAATGAGTGTGTTTATGTGTGTGTGTGTGTGTGTGTGTGTGTGTGTGTGTGTGTGTGTGTGTGTGTGCATGTGTGTGTGTGCATGTGTCTGTGTGTGTGTGCAATGTGTGTGTATGTGTGGGTATGTGTGAGTGTGAGAGTATGTGTGTATGAGTGGGAATGTGTGTGAATGTGTGTTTGCAAAGGCATGATTGAGGCACTCTATTCTCACTGTTCTGACAAGCAACATTATTCCCTGGCAGTCTAAATGCTTAGTAAATCATCAACAAAATGGGCTTATTAATAACTAGTTGATAGCACCAGAGTTTCTTCTCAATGTTTGAAAGCAGCGCAGATCCTTTTGCCTAAAGAACTCTGCCTCTTATGATAGACTTATAGTCTAAATGTACGCAGACCAGATACCAATAGATAGGTACTGAATTTTTATTTTTTTTATCGTTTTAAATGTAGGTGATTTTACACCCTCATCGACACAATCTAAATTATTGAAATTTCTGAGTACTGATGACTTGAACAAACATAAAAAAACAACACTTTGTGGTTTATTCTTTGGTTATCTTTTCTTTTCAACCATAATTAAGCTCCATTGTATTTTGACAAGAATAGTTTTAGTTTTAGTAAAGAGGAGTACATCGAGTCAGCTAATGTCACCTCGTGGAGGGGAAGAACAAGATGAACAGACAAAATAATTAGAAGAAGAGTAAAGAAGTAGGAGCTATCGGTGCCCTCAAACCATCTACTTGTTTTCATTTAAGAACAAAAAAGATTACAAGTTGAAAAGAGGTGAGGAGGCGAGGAGAAGGGGTGGGGGAGAGTCAGTGGCCTTCTACAAATCGAAATCATTGATGAAGCATAGGCCTACTGCAGCACAGCCACCAAACATGAACCACAAGAGACACCGGTGATAACAATATCCGCTTCTTGATCGATAAACTTATGAATATCAAAATTAGGAAGCACGCTAGATATTAAGATTAGATCATAAAATTTAAACCAAAATGTGCCATTTCAAGTGTAGAAGGACAGACATTATACCCTAGTGAAAAAAATCGAGCATTTTCATAGTGTCTAGGAAAGTCAAGTCTTTTCTTTATTTAAACAGCAAAGAAGTATTTTCAGTTAATACAACAAATATCCTCATAATTTATCAACTTTTCAAAGATGTACAAAGAATGTTGCTTTTCTTTCTTTGCTTTTTGTAACAGTGCTGCCACTTCAAGTGAACTTTAATTTGAACAAAACATGAACTTTATTCTCAAACTAAAATACATTTAACCAAAAAGTCTGAGATACTGAAATACCAATTCAAATACTAAAAGTAGTCCATTTAACTGTGAGCTATGTACAGGTAGGCAGGAATAACATACTTTGCTTTTAAGTTTCTCCAGCTTTGTTATTGAGCTACTTTAAATTAAAAACTGAGTGAAAAGTTCATCATCCGGTGACACTTGTAGTTACTGTAAAGCTTGATGGTTATCATAATAGCCTCATCACCTTGAGTTCTTCTTCCAATGACAATGGTGTTCCATCCTATGTGAGCGTATATAATGAATGCAAACATACACGGTGCAGAGATAGGCCTATACTAAATTGTTACTACACTCTACATTAGTATTATACTAGTGCAACGATTTTGAGAGTACAGATGGATTGATATTGAATTGAAAAGTGTGTGGTGAAAAAGACAGAGACAGGAATATATCTGATTATTATATATATCAGAGTAAATGTAAAAAGTTTCTAGCACAATGCAAAGACTTTAAGATTATGAGTGTTATTTTGCAGTATACAACAAAAATTAAGTATATAACTCAAAGAAACAAAAAAATGAAAGTGATGTTACAAAGAAGTTAGGTAAATAGGAAAGGAAAACAGGAGACAAAACTGAAGTGAACCAAAATATCAAAGGAAAAGATCCTCTATAACAATCGATAGTTGTTGATATTTGCGTCAATATGATTACCTAAAGGATAGGATGAACTGAAATGTGTGAGGAAGACGGGTTAACCTTTCTCAAATCACATAAGAAGGGCAACTGAGATTTACAGCTAACAGCTTAGAAAAGACTGACTTTCAGTCATCATCTCTCGACTCGACTCCTGAAATTAACCATACCTAGAGGAGGTGCAACAAGTTTGAACTGTTTGAAAGTACAAAACTTGTAAGTATAACATCATCAGCAAGGAAGAATAACACCCTTTATAAATAGATTGAGTATCTTAGTGATCATGACGTAAGTGTTATGTGTGTTGGTGCCACTCTGTGTGACTGTGAGCGTGTGGGGGTGTCATTTGAACAGCACAACGTTGCAAAATGCCACTTCTAAAGGATACAGAAACAGTTCCGAGTTCCTCATCCCCCCCATCTCCACCCCCCTTGTCCTTTCAATGCACAAGGCACAACCACCTTATCATAGTTACTCAAAACAGCTTTACAGTTTCTGAACTAGATCTTGGTAGCCTTACGCTGTATGACAAGGAAGAGTATCCCTGGGTTTAAATTATTCCACCAGTGGTTAATCAAAATGTTCAAACTAACATTCAAACTATTTTGATGTGACGAAAATAATTTATTTTGTAACAAGAAGAATCTTTCACAAGTAATGATACATGAACAAGATTAGCTTATGGGTTCGGCTCGAATTATAAACAATCAATTGTACCCTCCCATCCCACTCCACTGAATCCCTTATTCCACCTTTTCCACATATGATTTCCAAATGACTAACAACAAGTCTCAACATACATTAAACTTAAAATATCATTTAACATTTTCCCTTTTTATCTCTAAAATTTCTTACACTCCAAACCAACCATAGTCCCACTCACAGAACAGCAAGACCAGTTTCTATTTGGCTGAAAGCAAACATATATACCCCAATTAATTTTCCCCTAATCCCATTGTAAACTTAAAATCCACTGAGAGCGAAGGGTAAAAGAATCAGGAACTGCACTGCATCCTAAGGAAATTGCATTTCTTATACCCGCCTGGCTTCAGTTGCCTCAGCCTCATCCTTGTCATCACGGAGTTTCTTGTTCACATCTCTGTGGAGCAACATCATATCCAACATTTGAATCTCTGACGGCCATTTGTAAAAAAAAACCACATTGGATATCTTGTCAGCATTTAAACCTAACCTTATGAGCACCAACAAAGTTAAGAAAAAAATCAAGATCTTGTAAAATTACTCAAGTGTTATTCATGGCAAAAGAGCACAATCTGGGCAAATAGAGCAATTAAAAAAAATATAACCAGTGGAAAGAAGGAGAAGGGGCAGACAGTATACGATGTCTTCAAACAATAATGCTTCTCAACAAAAAAGCATAATATTACATTATTTGAATCGAAGAGAAGTAAATGGTAACTGACACAACAGTCATTAAGACCTTTAGACTACCAAAAGCACAGAAACAGATAAAAAACAATTTAAATATGAAAAAATTTAGGGTGAGCCAGTGAATTAGTTTAGAACCTCGATAAGAGGACATATGAATCTCAGAGAATTGCTTTTCAGTCCCATAATATATAATTAGACAAGTATTCAACCATAGAACCATTTGCTTTTCAAACTAAAGCATTATAATGAGAATAGGAGACATATCTTATTATTATTGCCTTGTCTAGGGACTTATTTGGAAGCAGTGTCACTTTCACTTGGGAGAGATGACAAAAATGTAAAATGTAACAATAAATTTAAATAATTACACTAAGACTAACAACATTTTTGGATATTTTTATGAAATTACTTACTTCAGAAGATCCAACTGCTTCACTAAACTCTCTCTCTCAATAGCAATTCCTTCTGACAGCATCAGTGCAGCCCTGAAAGAAAAAAATGTATTTGTTTTAACTGTGTTCTTTTTAAGCAGACAGCGCTTTTAGGTATAAGACAGGTCAGATTCTAGTCTAAGTACTTGATTGCTCCCTCATCTCTTGGAGAATTATTTGGTGTGATGAAAGAATATGTTGATCACATTTTACCAGGATGAAGGCTAGAACAAAATTCGATGAAAGAAAAATTAAGAGGAGCTTTCCCATCCATCACCTGAGTGTCACCGGGAACAGGCTGAGATGAGAGGAAAAGCTTCCTAAGGATTGAGAAAAATTAAAACGCACATAGGATTTTTACTTCGGTTTTAAATGTATTGATCAAATCTGTCACCAGTTCTTCAACAGCAGCCAGTATAGGACACTTTAGTGAGAGAAAAAAAATGTTAAAAGCCTTAAAGATGGGAAACCTCAAACAAGTATGTATTCACAAATGTAATGTTTTGGGGAGGTTGCCATAATCATAATGATAAACAACTGACTACAAAGAAAAAAAACCTTCAAATATTAGATAGTCAAAAGATTCTCTGTAGATCAACATTTACCTAAATAAATGTTTTCCAAATGACGATTTTGCTCCCAAATATTAGATTATAAAATTTTATCAAGTCGTCAATCCCATTGCTTTTACTAATAAATCGAATGGATGATAAATATCAACTTGCAACCCATTTGTTAGGGTGTTTCTCTTTCTAAACTATGCCTTTAGTAATATCTTTGAAGTTGTGTTAACCTCAGCATGTCCTGAGTAATTCATACATGATTTAAACAGTTGTGAAAATTCTTAGAACAATATATCAATAAATATGTGACAATAAGACTTGGCACAAATTTGGCTGGCCATCAAGCAGTGACCAATAGCAAAAAATAGAATATCATGCTGCATTTCTAGCTGCTATTTTATCGTTGAGTGACAGCAACAATTAATCACAAGTAGCTGCTCTGTTCAGACCAAAAAAATATATGACAAAACAACACAAATACAAAAATTAATACGTTCGTATTGTTAATGATATACATGTCCATGTTGAACTTTGTTAGTGCCAGCTTGACTTCTACAAAAGCCCAATGCTCCAGTAAATGACAGAAATTGGGATCATGTCTGTTGAGCTCGCATGCAATTTACATCAATGAAAAGGTACAATGTATTCAGGAAAATTAAGACACCACCTGCTGCATGTACTTTTACCGTCAGGGATTCATATTTAATTAAATAACCACAAGACCAAAAAATACCCCGACTTATCTTTAGTTGTTTTTTACTTTGTTTGTTTGTTTATTTTTAAATCTGAATCAGCACTTTAAAAAATCCCCCAAATCAAATTTAAGCAATCAAATTAAGTTCACCAAATCTTTTCGGCCCATATAAAAAGAAATCCATCAGATTTTGCAATCTTTCTTCCTCTAAGTGAATCAGAACAGTTGCAGCTTGTGCTTTTTGCAGTCATGCACCCCGGTTGTGGGAGGTTCATACGCTTTTCACGTCTTTAATAACCATACAGTTCCAGTACTTTGAGTTGATGTAATAAATCCTTTTCAAAGAAAAACGCCAAATGACAAGATAATGTCTATGAGGTTATACAAAGGATCAGTGAACATATTCTGGGGCAGTGATAAGAAAATCATTAAGTCCACTGAGCACTTGTTCACTCCTGTGCCACAGTTTGACGTGGGGCACCCCCTTGAAATCCTGTTATTGTGCACTTGTGTGTGTGTGTGTGTGTGTGTGTGTGTGTGTGTGTGTGTGTGTGTGTGTGTGTGTGTGTGTGTGTGTGTGTGTGTGTGTGTGAGAGAGAGATAGAGAGAGAGTGCATGTGTGTGTGTGCATGTGTGTGTGTATGTGTGGGAATGCATGTGTATGTGTGTGTGTGTGTGTGTGTGTGTGTGTGTGTGTGTGTGTGTGTGTGTGTGTGTGTGTGTATGTGTGTGTGTGTGTATGTGTGTGTGTAAATGCATGTGGTTTTTTAACTTGTTTATGCCTGTACTGTGTGGTAAGAGAAAAAAATGAGAAGGAACAAGATAGAAAAGATCAAAGTCACTACTGGTACCTTAATGCAATATTCTGTTTATTTTTAATCTCAAAATGCCACATTTCCACACTCAAAAAGCAAGCATAATTTACACAATCTATGAGAGACGATTCTATGTGAGTGTATATAAAAATATTCACATTTATATCAGCCACAATATACTTCACAAAACACAGCCACATCATATAATCCAGTTTTTCATGCACACTCCTCTATCATTATCATACCCATCACCACATTACTAATTTATTATAATCTGCATACACCAGCAAAGAAGTAATACATGTATATCTTGAAGAGGCATGCAACAATTCACAATAGAATCAACCTATAAGCCATAAGGTCCACAGAATTTACCCTCACCTTACTAATAAGCTGATTATTCAAAGGCTCTTTTTGTAACCCACCAAACATCATATCAACTGCTAAAAAAAATTCCACTTTTCCAAGTGGCTCATGGCGGAGTCTTACAGTACTAAACAGTTGAAATGATTAACATTCTTATCGAGTTATATAAATGTTAAGCAAAAACTCAAACTCCCTTAAAAAAAAAGATTCTATAGTTCAGTTAAGTAAGAGTTTTATGGCATTTGCAACTGCATAAGATCATATTGTTAATGTTGTTTGTAGAGATAAAAGTTATTTTATAGTCTATAAAAACAAACAAATAATGAAAGAGAAAATGTCAAACAATGAAATTGAGAATCAAATCTGTAAGAAAATTTCCCAAGGATTGGCCACTGATGTCTACTGAATGGGAAGCTATGCATAGCACTGTCATATAGTTCAAGTTCTTACTTTCAGAATCTTTCTGAAATCAAATCTTTTTCTTTTACTTGAGACTGAAAAATTACCAAAATGTCAACTAACTACAAATTAACTCTGAAAGCCCCAAAAAACCAACCTCGGTTTGTTTTATATTTTGACTCATGGTCTGTGTGGTGGGATTGAAAATAATTTTCTTGCACTATCCTGAACTATAAGTAGCAGTAAAAGGGTCAGCAGCTGAAAGCAGCTGAAGGAAATAGTGAACATGGTAAAGGTGATCATGAATTTAATCCACTCACAGCCAATACTGAAGAAGGAAATTCTTTTACAACGGAAATGCCAGCATTTTTAGTCAGTAGCATACAAAAATAAGAAAGAAATAAAGAGTGTTATGTCAGAAGGAATTCAAACTTGTAAAACTTTTTAAAATCCTAAGATTTCTAAATGATGAGCTACTGCATTATAACTACAGGGTTACTTGTCACAGATGGCCATGTATGACATATCAGGAAGTAAGCACAGCACTATGGAATACACAACCTTTTATTGTGTGCACTGACGTAATCTGGTGAGGGCTGCTGCCTACAGACACTAGATTGGTCGTACCTTCGACCCCTGGTGGTGGAAATCTTCAACGGCTGAGGGTCCGGGTAAAAGGTCACAGCCAAATTTTTACCTCTGTGACCCCCATCTAGGATGTCATCAAGTGACCTTTGGGAAGTTTTAAATAGGATGGAATTCTGCTTCGTGCAATCATAATACGGAGTACCCATTGGAGGATCGGTTCTCTAATACAAATCGATCACCAACCGATTGCCTGACTCGTCACCTGAAAACAAACGCATTGTTTTTGGTGAAGAGTCAGGCAATCGGTTTGAGCCATAATAGTGGCTTATTTGCGCCCTCAATCTGGCTAGCAAGCCGAACCGAACCGAACTGGCCAATGGGCACTGGGTATAAGGCAGACTGTTGATTATATTACCGGCATCTATGGTGTAGCAGTTAGGGGCTTCATTGCTGCATGTCAGAAACCCAAGTTCAATTCCTGGGTATGCAGAAAATTTTTATCAAGTGTCTCAGCCCTTCTGCTGTAATGTATCACTCTCAGCCCAGGTGGACCCTGACAGGCAAGATCAGAAGCCCAACTCATAAAAGATCAGAATTGTGTCAATGGGGCCGTAAAATCACCTACATTTATAAAAAAAAGCACACAAATTTGATTATACTATTTAAGTCAAGAAAGCTTTCCCCCCACCAACCCCCCCCTTCTGCCCACCCAACGTTTTTGAACAAAACTAAAATTTAGCTAAATATTTCTTTTTCTGAGCCCAGATTTCAAAGTTCTAAAAACAAAACACTGGCAAAAATCACTGTTATTCTTTGATTTCTTATGAGCTGAATCAAGTTTCAAACCCATTCCAAGAGTTAAAACTCGCAATGTCATGCCAAGCTGCCCCATATAAAGTTCTTTCAAATTAGTAATATATGTGACTTTCTGGTGAAATCAGATGCTTGACAAAATAATGAAATAGAAGAAAAGGATATTTTTCTGCCCATTGGGGAATTTTTATTACACTTTTTTTTTGACGGGGGCACTCAGCACCTTTTATGTCCATTTAAAAACACACTTTCGAGTGGATATTACAGAGAAATGTTGATCACAGGTACAATAAATGTAAATTTAAAGTTTGAAAGGCCACTCAAGCTTTGAAGTCACCAACATTAGATAGATACTTTCTTACTAATTTTACCTCTGACATCAAGCACGGCGAGCGCCCATCTCCTTCAATTGCAAATATCTCACCTTCTATTCAATTTTGAGGGGAATTTTTATTTCATCAAAAGGAAGAAAAATTAATAACGTTTTGCAATGACCCATATAATATGTCCAAAACTTGACAAGCACCTGATTGCACCGTGTCATGACACATATTGATTGATTATAATTATTATGTAATGGTTACAGACGAATACTCAGAGTAACCTGTAAATGTTATAGAAAAAAAAATCCAATTCTATACTGGCATAATATAGGACCTAATGGTTTGGGTTGTTTTATATCTATTCTCACTAAAATGGGAAGAGAAAAAGTCAAATGAAAATATCTATCAGTGATACTTCTCATTTTACTCATAATATTAATCTATTGCTTCAAAAAGAACAAAATTATTCGTTCTGTTTCATCACTTGAATTGAGATAAATTTTTTTCTGCTTAGGATCACTGAGAATTGTAACATACAAATCAAAAAGACAACAATTAGTAACCAGACCACAACTAGTAGGTTAAATACTTCATGAAAATACTTTAGTTGTCAACTCTTTTGACAAGAACAACACACCTCTCAGTCTCTTCCTTTCTTTCTCTCCATGAACTCCATGAACATAAGCAATTAGAAAATACAACTTAAAAGTCATTAAATAAACAGCCAGAGATATACCTCAGCTTGATATTTACAGCTCTGCTTTTTCATGATTCAGAGCATAATATTTTCTCAATAAATTTTTCAGGCAGGGAAGGGAGGAAATCACGACAACTCAAGTGACCTACATGCAGTGCTTATGATGATTACAAGTAAGGGCTTGTTCCTCAGTATCATTTTGAGATGTTCTAAACTATTTTAAATTCTTTTATATGCCGACTAATAATAAATAACTCATTGTGTATTCAATATGAGGAAAGAGGATTAACTAAAGTTAGTTTGTGATGTGAAAAAAAGTGCCTAACTTTTCACAGTCCGAGCTATCTATCTGTCTAATCTTAATTATTCTCACCTGTTTCATCATTTCTATCCTTGTATTCATGAAGAAAATTACAAAAACTGTACCTTTTAAACGATATTCTTATTATCTTTCAGCACCTGTGAAAGTGTCCAAATCATGTATAAGAGTACAAAAAGTAGAATTCTCACCTTGCTCTCTCTCTCTTCTCATCCTTTTGCTGGACCTGCATTTGTTGTATGTATGTGCGCGACTCTTCTAAATCATCTTGTGACTGGCTCAGCATTTCCTCCAAGCGATCTTTCTCCTGTAAAATAACAAATAATTTGTGTGCTTACAGTGCTACTATGACTATGAATTCTAAAACATGGGAAGTAGCCAAAATTATGGCTATGACGACTTGTATCTGCATGTATTGTAACAGTTAGGCATTTTGCCAAAGCATAGACGTGAGTTTAATTCCTATGTGAGGAGCTTTCTTTAAATCAAGTATTCTCTGTCAGTCTGTTGGGACACTATCTCCCTGGCAGCATGGGTTGGTCCAGACAGTTAGTGTTAAAGAAGCCTGCCTGCCTCCTTAATGATCTAAATTGCATCAACATAGGCATTACTTACTTACTTATTTACTACCCGTTACACCATCTGGCGTTTAGGGCAGCAAAAAAGGATATCCAGCTCTGTCTGTTTTGGGCCATCTTGGTCAACTCTCCCACAAATGGTTCCAGGATTGGAGGCACTAAACTTATACAATTGCAATATGGCTGTGAAGAGGGTGATACCAACAAAGATCAAAGTAATTATGGAAAGCATAGTGTGGGGTCTTCTTAAACCAAAATTTATAGACATCCGGATTTCCTTTCGGTTTAGTCGAGATTTTGGTTTAGTGAGGTTGTTCAAATAATAGAAAAACAAATCTGGGGGAGAGTTTACAGCTGTTTTTGGACTATCTGTGTTCGGTTTAGGTGAACTTCACTTTGCAACTTTTTCTCTAGCACAATCCCACTCCACCCGAACCACAAAACATAATATTACAGTATGTAATTTTTACAAACTTCCTTCAGTTTTCACTTTACCAAATTATGTGCAAGCACGCACACACTTACACTTCCCATACTGTACACTTACTTCCCCCCTCCCCTGACCCTCTCCTCTTTCTCTCTCTCTCTCTCAAA